CAGCAGGGGCGCTTTCTCATGGTGATTTTCAGCAGGAGCCAGGAACTTCAAATGGGGGAGGGGCCCCTGAGGAACAGAACAAAAGTCTCCCTGTGGGCGATGGAGAAGCCAGGAGACAAAGTGGAGCTCAGCCCCACGGCTTTGGACCCCCAGCATGGTGACTCTCAAGGGACCCTTTTGGTTGTCACCATCGGGGCAGGGGGCTGGCATCCAGTGGGGGGAGGGCACGGATGCAGCCGCACAGCCTGCACACACAGGGGGTCCCCACCACGAAGGGTGACCCAGCCCGACACGTTCTTGTGCTGAGGCTGAGAAGCCCTGCCCTCGACCATGAACTCTGGAGGGAAAGGGTCATGTCTTCCTTCCTGGCAGCTTCTCTTGGCTCATAACAGACAAAGAGCTAATAACTGCAGGTGAATGAATGTTGGAGTGAACGAATGACCACGTGAACAGAGGCTGTTGGGAAGACTTGTGTTTCTGTGCGGAGATGGGAAGCTGACAGAGGGTTTTGTCTAGACCGACACGCTCTGCCTGACTTCTAAGGGATCGCTCCCACTGTGGGGCAGGAGGCTCTCACCCGGAGCCGAGGTGGCGAGATGCCAGCCCTCTCCCTGACCAGTAAGGATGTACCCCCCGCCCCCCAAGCACCTGGTTGCTCAGCCTCGGCTTCGCTTCTTCCCTGCAGGATGGGCACACAGATCTGATGTGCCCTGTGAAGGAAGAACCGGTAGTGAGGAGAGGTGCTGCGGGCGTCCACCCTCACGGGACGAGGGGGCAGGCTCTGTGACCCCACCGGGCTCTGCTTCTCGAGGTGGGGCCTCCTGACCCTCAGGCCTCCCCTGTTACATGAAGGGGCAGCCGCTCTTGGAGCCCTGAGGGCTGTGGCTGTTCTCCGTGTCTGGGTCATCTTGCCCCAGAACCTCTTTCTGAAGGGCCAGATGCCTCCTTTCTCATTCCACCACCGTGGGTCTGTCTGTCTGTCTCTCTCTCTCATTTCTGCGTCTCTTTCTGTAATTGCCACTTCTGTGCATCTGCATCTCTGTTGTCCTCCCTCTGTCTTTCCGAGTTTGGATCCGTGCAGATCTCTCTTATTCTGCGACCCTGTGTCTCTCGTGGCCTCCCTCTCTGTCCTGACGTGTGTCTTTCTGCCCACGTGCCTAGGGTGTGAGGGCAGGGCTGGTAGCTTCCTTGTCCCCTGCAGTCCCCCCACTGCCTACAGCAGTGCCTGGCCCCGTGGACCCAGGGTGACTCTGACGGGGGCGCGGGGAAGGAACTGAGACCCCAGGAGGCAGGGATCCCCTGTCTTGTGTGTCCCCCTCCTCCGGGGCTGTGCCGCCTGTCAGGAGGCAGCCGAGCCAGCACACGCTGAGGCAGACAACCAGCAAACCTTTGCCTTCGAGAGGGCTCATTCATCTCCGGCAACTGTCAAAATATTAAGCTAACTGGGACGTGATTGTTGCAAATTGCTCCAGAAAATAGCTGGGAGCTCTTAAGATTTTAAAATAGGTGTTTTTAATGCTGCAATTGTCTTTTGATGGTTTTATTAAATGACGGAGAAAGTACAATTAGCATGTTTTGCCTCATTTGCCCCGTGGTGCTCATTTGGGTCTAGAGGAGGGCCACTCCGGGTTTCCATGGAAACTGGCTTGTCAGGCTGGCTCTGGCAGAGTCTAACAGGAAATCTTTATTCCCAAAAGCAGGTTGTCAGATTCACTCTCAGTCAAAGTGCAGTGAAAATATTTTCCGTGTTATTTGCCTGTGGTTCCCAGGCACAGGGAGCCTGTTGTCCTGCTGGGGCCACTGTGTTGGGGCCAAGTGCTGACGGAGCAGGCCCGGGCGCCATGGGCTCGCCCTCGTACATGACCGCAGGGCCTTGGGGCTGTGTTCAGGGGAGGAAACCAAAGCCCCCGGCTCCCTCTGGGAAGGCAGGTCAGAAAGCACTGATAGAAAGGGAGCCCCACAAGGGGCTTTACAGAGGATGCCTGACTCCTCCCCATCCTCCCCGCTTGCTTCCCTTTATTTCCTGCAGTTTTGCTGTTCTCCTCTGCACTGAGGATGTTCTGTGTTGAGGAAGCTACTTTTTAAGGCATCCTTGCAAATATTTCCCTCAAAGTACTGGGACCTAGAGGTGTAGGTCTATACACAGAATAGCACCGAATTGCTGTGTGACCCTAGGTAAACCCCTTGACCTCTCTGGGCTCCGGCTTCCTCCTATACAAGTGGAGGGTGCGGTGGGCCACGTGATGTCTGGGCTTTTCTGGCCCCTGGTTCTCAGCCCAGACAGGCCTCTCTGGTAGCCCCAAGGAAGGTTCTGTTTCCTGTCACTCAGCCCGCAGTGGGAGTCAGCAGCCCACTGCCCGTCTCTCAGCACTCCACTCTGAAGTTTCTCGATTGGAGCTCTGAGTCGGTGGCAGCAAACCCGAGCGTCTGGTGTGAAGCCTCCCACTTGCAGGACGGGCGTTGCCCGGCTGGCCGCGCGACTGTGCTTCAGTTTGTGGCCCGGCCGCAGCCGCTCCCCGGGCTGCCCGCATGGGCTCTGGCTCCGTGTCTCCCCGAGCCTCATGTCCATGGGCCACTGTCCTTCTGGCCCCCGTCTGGCAGGAGCTCTTAGCCGTGTTTAGCGGGTGGACGTTCCCTTGCTGAGCACTGTGGCTTGAAGCTCCCGAGCAGAGTGTGTTCGATGGGAAGTTCAGGGTCTGCCGGATCTGTTTGCAGAAACTTGAGCTCAGCCGGGGCTGAGTGCCCTGGCTTTGTCCCCTCTTCTCCGGGAGGTGGCTGGTGAGGACCCTACCCGAGGCTCCTCAGGCTTCCGGGCGTGTGGATGACCAGACTTCCCTTCTGTCAAACGCCCGTAAAGGGGCTGCAGTCGGAGCCCTCTGTGTTAGCAAATGCTGGAAAGCCAGGACCCCCAGACTTAAAGTGTATGCTCTGAAGCCTTTCCAGCAACCTCCACAGGGGCAGCATTGGGGGGGAGCTCCCCACGCTCTGGGCCCACCCTCCCACCTTGTGTTTTAGCCTCACCTGCCCTGCGCTCTCCCTGTGCCATCACTCACGTGGTTTTTTTCTCTGAAGGTACTAAGAAGCTGACCAATAAGGCCACCCTGTGGTATGTGCCCCTGTCACTGAAGAACGTCGACAAGGTCCTGGAGGTGCCTCCAGTCGTGGTAAGGAGACCCCCTTCCGCTTCTCTCGGGGGGCAGACGGCAGAGGCGAGCCAGGCGTCCCAGGAGAGCAACAGAAGGGGCCGGGGGCCGGGTCGGCCGGTGGAGTGGGATGTCCCTGTCTGGGATCTTCGTGCAGGTTTCGTTCATGCTGGGGATGTCCTGGTGGACGCCCCTCCTGGAGGACCCTTCCTCATGTCCCTGACCAGAGGGAAGGCGGGGGTCAGGATGGTGTCAGGTGACAGGTCCTTCTGCGAGAGCCAGGACCTCCCGGCTGCCTGGCCCAGGCCAGCCGCTCCCCATCCCAGCCCCTGACGAAACGGAGGCTAAGACAGCTCTGTTTCCACCTCTTCTCCCACTGTCCTGGGTTCTCTCACTCTGGTTTTGCTGCAGAAAGAAGCGTCCTTGCACGAAGGGAGCCCATTGTGTTCGTTCTGGGCCTGCTGCGGGCACGCTCGGGTGGACAGGCTTTTGGAGGGTGAATGTTGTGCCAATAGAAGGATTTAGTTCCTTCCCTTCCCTAAAGTTAGCCCTCACCGCCTCCTGCGGCGCCCCCAGGACACGCGTGCTTCTCCTCCGTGGAGGCCCGCGGCTCTGCTCTCACACCGAAGCTCCTCTGGAGGGAATCACCCCGTGGTCCTGGCAGTGTCTGCCCTGCAGTGAGCATTTTCCTACACTCGTACAGAGAACAGATTTTTAAAATAACGAAACCGGGAGCCACAGCTGTAGGAACTGGTACCTGCTATTCTGCAGAGAGCCCACAGAGAAGCTGGGTCCTGTCCTCCTCCTCGTGGGGACGCAGGCCCTTCCTGCTTGGGGAGGCTTGCTCTGTCTCCCTGGCAGACCTTCCCACTTCCTGCACCCCTGCAGGTGTAACACTGGGGGGGGCACTCCCTGCAAACCCCCCCCACCCCCGCCCGTGCCAGCCCAGGGTCCGGCCGCACAGCCTGCCTGGGCCCCCGGGGGCAGGCGAGGCCCAGGTGGCATATCTGCCCTGGTGCGGATGGCTGCCTGCTGGGCTCCAGCTGCCGAGAAGTCTAGATATTTAAACCGTCTTGAGACAGGGGAGCCCTCTTCAAGGCTTGACCTTGGCCTGGGTTGGATCGGTGGCCTGTCCTTTGGGCCCGCGGGAGACGGGACGTAGTGCTCCTGCCCGCTGACGGCCCTGGCATCACCCATCCCTGCACAGGCGAGGAGAGCGGTGGAAGCTCACGGCCAGGGCATGGAGCCCAGCAGCTCCTAGGGCTCACCCCTCTATGATGGTCCTGGGGCTGCTGGGACGGAGGCCCCAGGGGAGGACGCTTCCTGCGTCTTCCAGCTTCTAGTGGCTCGTGGCTGCATCCCTCCCACCTCTGCCTCTGACTGCCCCTGGGGGGGGTGTTACGTCCTCCTCAGTCGTTGCCCTTGGGGTCCGTTCTGCTGCAGCGTTATCTCATCCAGACCCCGGTTCTGTCAGAGGCCACGTGCGCAATTTTCCATGGGCGGGAATTTTGACAGACACTGTTCACCCCAGAGCACTGCCCTTCCGTGCAGCCCCACCCGCCCCCTCCCTCCTTCCCTGTCTCTCCCCTCCCTGCAGCACTGACTGGGGGGAGGCCCAAGACTCAAGAAGCAGGAGTGAGTCTGAAGCACGGTGATTTTTCTCTTTAGAAATTACGAGCGTACCCACCCCTGCTTTCATCTTTTGCACCAAGCACTTGGTGCTCAGTTAGCCGCATTGCATGTAAATACGACATAATTATTGAACTGATTTCATTTTCATATAGCACAGATTGTAGAAGTCTCTGGCAGGCCATTCTCTGGCTTCGGCACCAGATGATACATGTTAAAGGGTTGATACTGAAGGAAGATTCTGGGGCTGAACACATGAACCTTTGCTTCCTCTGGCTCCTCAGGGCCAGGGGGCTGAGAGCGTAGGGTCTTCGGCCAGCAGGGCAGGGGTGGGCGTGCCGGTTCCCATCCCCACACAGGGACAGGGCAGCTCTCCTCCCCAGGGAGCGCTCACCCCGCATCCCAGAGGGGCCTGGAGTTTTCCCATCCCTTTTGTTTAGCCGGGTTTGATAAGACATAAGTACCAACCGTGCCCTTGTAGAGACGGAAGCAGAGAGGGCTCCAGATGGGAGAAGCCACGCAGCTCTCAGCTGCAGCCGACGCTCATATTTATGGGCGTTCGCCCCCCCCACCACATGTGAGCCCCACATAGAAGCCTTCAGTTGATTTGAAATACAGGTCTGCTGTTGTCCTTATCCTGATGGATCCTGGAAAGCTCGGAGTCTGGCGTTTATGCTCATCGCTGGTCACGTGGCCACGAGGCTTTCTCATACCCCCCGCCCCCGAATCGCACCACCGACCTTTTATAGAGCGCTGTCATTTATTTGAGAACACACACATCTCTCTGTGCAGGTGTGTGTGTGTGTCACGCACGTCTCTCACGTGTAGTCATACCAGACACGTATGTCACACATACCTCACAGAGCACACTCGCGTGTGCATCTCCCTGGAAGAAGCCCGGCTGTCCACCTTGTGCAGTGGTATTCAGTGTAAGACGCTGCCACCTGGCTCCACCCTCTTCCTCGGGGAGCAGGGACCCCAGTGTCCCTGCAGTGACCCTGGAGAGGCGGGGGGGCCATCCGAGAGCGGACACTTCGGTTGTTGGGTTTTTTCTTTTTTCCAGTGTCTGAAAGTGCGCTTGAGTTCAGAGTCTTGCCCAGGCCGGTGGACGTGTAGGCTGAGCTGGCTTTTGCTTCACATCAGCTGGGCTAGACGAGCCCTTGGGGGTGAGGGTGGGATACCAGCCCATCGTTGGGACTTCTAGTGATTTTATCCCTGATTCAGAGGCAGCAGGGCAGCGTTGTGAGGAGGCTGCATTTCCTCCATCTGCATGGCTCGTGTCTGGCCGGGGCCCTGCCAGCCGCGTGTGACAGCCCAGGCCCAAGCAGCATGCTCACATGGCCAGGATTTATTAGGCTCAAGAGGTTGGCTCGTTCTTAAAAAAATCTCTTTAAAAGGCATTTCTTGAGGACACTTGAGTTCAGCCGTGAATTTTACCGGATAGGCACAGTGCAGACTCTGCTCATATGCTCTTTACTTCGGATGGTGGGACAGGGGGCCACAGTTTATTTATGGAGAAAAAGGTTTAAAATTTAAATTATCCACTGCAACTTAAACACTCAGGGTTTGTTTCTTTTGAACAGACCCCTCAGACCCTTTCTCGGCCTCCTTGGGAGACAGGTTCTCCAGCCTCAGATGGTAACTGAGCCACAGAGTGGTGTTCAGATCCTGTGCGATTTGCCGCAGAGCCACGAGCAAGAAAATCAAGATGTTTAAGACTGGCTTTTGAAAGAAGATCTAAAATTGCCGTATGAAGTGAATTTGCCTAAGTCAGAGAGGCTTCAGCGGGGGGCCGAGAGGGGCCCATGGGGCCCTGGGTCCGTAGCTCTGCATGGGCTCAGCCAGAAATGCTGCCTGAGTGAGGCAGGGGCAGGTGTCAGAGCTAACCGAGGGGAGGCTGGCTGGGCCGTGGTCAGCACGGGGGGCCAGGGCCATGGCGGCAGGAAGGGAGAGGGCTGCCAGGGGAAGCTGGCCCCTGTGGACCTGGCCTGGGGCTTTTCCGAGGGGTCCTGCATGGAGGGCGTGTGTGCCCTACACTGGGCTGGAGGACAGGACCCTTGCTGTAACATCAGAGAAGCCCAGCGTCTCCCGCTGTGCCCGTAGGGACCCCAGCTTTTGTGCCAAGTTTTATATTCTGTTTACACTTCTTGGGTCTGAACGTCTGTGATCCATGAGGAGAGCTTTGCTGGGATCATCTTAGCTTTGGTGCGCGTTCCCGCAAGCGTGCAACCTGGACAGGCTGGGCGGTCAGCAGAGTGAGGGTGTCGAGGGCATGCGGGAAACCTGCTCTCTCCTCACCCTGTTGGGGCTCCCGTGATTCTGTAGTTCTGTGTTCAGGGATAAATCCTAGGAAGGAGGAGGGGGCACGTGTAAAATGTGACGGAGATTGTTGACGGGATGTTGTTGTTGTTGTTTTTTTAAAGATTTTATTTATTTATTTGACAGAGACACAGCGAGAGAGGGAACACAATCAGGGGGAGTGGGAGAGAGAGAAGCAGGCTTCCCGCCGAGCAGGGAGCCCGATGTGGGGCTCGATCCCAGGACCCTGGGACCATGACCTGAGCCAAAGGCAGACGCTCAACGACTGAGCCACCCAGGCGCCCTGACGGGATGTTGTTTTAACAGCGACGGACTGGGAGCCTGCCCGATGCGCTCAGTACCGGGTCCATCACCTAAGTCCTGTTAGGCAGAGAGGTTGGGCTGATGCAGTTGATTGCTACTTGGAAACCTGCACCTGGCACGGGAGAAGTTTTATATACACGTGGGCATGAGAGCAATTCAAGGAAGACACAGAGCAAACATTTGAGACTGTTTATCTCTGGATACATGAGATTTTCACCTTCTCTGTGTTTTTATTGTTTATATTAAATATATATTATTAGGTCAGGGATGGATGGCTACAGTTACATAACTCAGGCAAGGAGAGCCTTGAGCCTGGGAGGCCGAGCCATGCCTGGCTGGGGACGGCGAGGGCTGGGCTCACTGCTGCTGGCCTGATCCTCTGTCTGCGCCTCTCCGCAGTATTCCCGGCAGGAGCAGGAGGAGGAGGGCCGGAAGCGGTATGAGGCCCAGAAGCTGGAGCGCATGGAGACTAAGTGGAGGAATGGGGACATCGTCCAGCCTGTCCTGAACCCAGGTAAAAGCTGGGGTGCCGTTCTGGGGACTCATCTCTGCTGGCAGGTGCCGAATGTGGCAGGCTCATGGACCTTCTCCTCCTGGGGCTGGTGCAGCCCCTCACCCTGTGTGCTGTCCCGGGGGCTCTGTCCCCTGTCCCTACAAACCCATTTCCAGTAGCACCATCAGCAGTGAGGGGACGGGATAGCTCAGGGGGGCCCTGCAGGCCCGTGGAGTATGGAGGCAGAGGCCTCACTGCCTGGGCACATAGGAGCGAGCCTGTGCATAGAGGTGCTGTCATGTCTTTCCCCCAAGGTGACTCAGGAGCACATTTCCAGCTCATAAAAAACAGGCAAATGGCAGCATCTCTTTCCACGTTGTTCCTCACCAGCCTGCTGCTCAGATGTCTGCGGGCACGCCGGCTTCCTCTCCGGCCGTGTCCTCCTGGTCTTTTACTCCCTTGCCTGCAAGTCCACGTGACCAGCGTTAGCCAGATGTCCGTCCAGAACCCAAACGGAGAGGTCCAGGGCTGGTTTCCCTCCAGATGGGACTTTCCTCCCTGGGTCCTTAGCAGACAGCTCCCCTGGGGCTCAGACAGTTCAGGGCAGGGTCTCAGGGGGTGTGTCTTCCCATCAGGACACAGCGAGCCCTTGGGACGTGGGTCTTCCCGGTAACGTGGGTCTCCTCTGCACACACACGACCATGTGTCATTCGTGTGGAGAGGACTCTGAAGAACGTGCTGTGTGTTCTCTGCGGGGCTCCAGAGGGTGACACCTCTGGGTGCCCTGGACACAGGTGTGTTTGAGTTCCGGATTTGGTCCTTGACAGCAGAGGACTGTGTTGTGCCCCGATGTGCCCTGGGCTTTCCCCCCTCCATGCTGTGCCACGGTTCCTGCTAACCAGGATGACAGTGAACTCCAGGGCATGGGCCAGACCACGTTTCTGGCCCCCTGCCCACCCGCCCGGGTTGCAAGCCACATCCAGCATCAGGGCAGGGCCTCTGGCGATAACCCAGCAGCCGTGCACGTGAGGACGGGGCCTCCTGGGTTTCAGCTCCCGTGCCCTGGGTTCCTCGGACTGTGCCTGTTCCGTTCGCACAGGATTCTGCAACTCTTCTGGTCTGCTCACGGTCCGCTCATGTGCATCTCCCCCTTATTCTTCTCACGTTCCAGCCTCAACCTGCCCACAGCGAAGGCCGGTGGCCTGTGTGGGGTGGTGTCTTCACTGTTCTTTTCACACCTGCTTTTCAGCAAACATTTCAGCCAAAATGATAAATTAGTTGTTGGTATTCATAAGAAAGAATGTTGCTGGAAGAGACGATCTGTTTATAACACAGTCACGCACAAGACGGGCCTGGGGTCACTCCTGGCGACTGAGGGCAGCAGAGCCAGAGCCAGGCTCTGCTCTCGGGGGGCAGGCAAGCATGCTGGTCAGGCAAAGACACGGACGGCAGCCAGGTGATGTGACCGAGTGGGGATGTCTTAGGAGAGGTACAGACTCGGTGCTGAGGGCACTCCAGGACAGAGAAGCTGGAGGGGGCTGAATGGCAGGCCACCCCCCCGCCCCACGCAGAAGACATGTCCATCCCCAGTTCTGGACCCTTACTTGCAGAAAGGGTGTTTGCAGATATAATCAAGTTAAGGATCTCGAGATGAGGTCATTCTGCATTACCCAGGTGGGCCCCCAACCCAGTGACCGGTGTTCTCATTAGACAGGAGGGTAGAGACAGTGTCAGCCCAGCCCCAGCAGGGACGGGCCGGGAGGAAGTCGACAGCACGTGGGGGCTGCTTGGATGCCCCTCTCTGTGGGCCCTTTCTGGTGAGTGCTTGGGGTGGAAGCCAGACTGAGGGTCGAATTCAGTCCTGGATTCCTCCTTTGACTGTCTGGGAAACTGAATATAATGCTCACGGTTTCCAGCCTAAGTCCCTTCATGCATGGGGTTATTTCCTGTTTGCTATCCTGTTTGACTGTGCATCGGATACATAACGTTTCTCAGAATCTATTATTCTCCGCTGTTAATCAAAGGTGACAATCTGAATCTCAAGATTTCTTTTTTTTTTTTTTTAATTTATTTGACAGAGAGAGAGCACAAGCAGGGGGAGTGGTAGGCAGAGGCAGAGGGAGAAGCAGGCTCCCCACTGAGCAGGGAGCCCGATGTGGGACTCAATCCCAGGACCCCGGGATCATGACCTGAACCGAAGGCAATTGCTTAACCAACTGAGCCACCCAGGCGCCCCCCCCCCCCTTTTTTAAAGATTTTATTTATTTATTTGAGAGAGAGAGAGCACGCACGACCCGGGGAGAGAGGGAGAAGTAGGTTCCCCGCTGAGCAGGGAGCACAACACGGGGCTTGATCCCAGGACCCTGGATCATGACCTGAGCTAAAGGCAGACGCTTTACTGACTGAGCCACCCAGGTGCCCCCTGAATCTCAAAATGTCTTGATAGATTTTTATAAGCTTTTATTTTTATTTTTCTGTGTTCCAATAAAAATGCATCTTTCTCAGATGACTGGCTTAGGGACTGGCTTTTAAATGCTTCTTAAGGAAGTCACATGCCCATTCCTTGGTGTTTTGGAATGTGGTCCGCATTTCTGACCTCAGTCTCTCAGTAGAACTGGCTTTGCCCTGGCAGGGCGGGGCTGGGCTTCTGCAGGCAGGCCTCCCAGTGCCTGGGGGGAGGGCAGGATGGGCTCCCCGGGAGGGCCAGCGGGACAGGAGCTCAGCAAGAAGGGCAGAGCGTGTGCTCGGCACTGGGGGTCTTTCGAACACTCCAGCCCCTCCCTGTGGGAGGACCCCGCCACTCCCCACATCTGCAGCTCTCTGTCACCGTTGACACCAGAACCCGATTTCAGCAGGCTGTTGCCTAGCAACTCCCTCGCGGGGCTGACCTCATCCTTCAGGTGTCCTTTCAGAGAGTCTGGGAGTTCTTTAAAACCCAGCTTTTTTTTTTTTAAATTGTTTTCTCCATCTGACAAGAGAAAATACAATTACCTTGAACGGTTTGATCCACAGCCGTCGGATGTCCAGCTTTGACCATGTATGTGGCCATCTGGAGCCATTTGGGGGCTGTCAGGTTGATGACAAAGAAACCCGGCTCCGGTTGCTGGGCTGGGCCCAGGCTCTGCCTCCCTGTGGTCAGACCGTGCCCGGCCACCCCTGAGAGTGCTTGGTGTCCACCTGGGGTCTCCCAGGATCTCACCAGGCCCCATCATCCTGCGCCCATCAGCATTTGTTCTGGGGAGAGCAAGAGGAGGCCTCCTGTGTGAGGAGGCAGAGGTGGGGTGGTGAGGGACACGTTGTCTAGAGTTGGGCTGCCCAGGTCTGAATCCCCCTTCTGCCTCCGTGGGGACTTAGTCTCCCTGCCTCTGTTTCCTCGGCTGGAAACACAGGAAAGGGGACTCCTGTGTATGTTTACAGCTGTGCCGAACCTCTCCCGTTGCTGCGCCGGGGACCTCACTCAGGTTCTGGACGCTGTTGTGACGCTGAGACCCAGACATTAGCGCCGTGTTAGCCAGGATCATGGTAGCCGCTGTAGCTGCTGAACCCTGAAATCCTAGTGCCTGACTCAGTAGAGGTTTATTTCTCGTAAAGTCCAAACCGGTGTTCCTAATCAGGGGGTGAGCTGCAGTTGAGGTGGACTCGTCTTCGAGCTGTGCATCTTGAACAGGTAGCTTTCGGGGTTACCTTGGAAGGGGAAAGATCAGGGGCTCACCCATCTGGGGTTTGGATGGGTTGGGCTGAAAGCAGGTAGCACTTCCACTCATGCCCTTTTGGCGGGAAGGCAGCCTGCAGAGGAGGCTGGGCAGAGTGGTCTAGCCGTGCGTGGAGAAGGCGAGGAAAAGGGGCTGCCCAGTCCTGCCCGCTGACCACCATGTCCTGTTTCTTTCCCTTGCCCGTGTGGGTCACTTCACCCAGAATCCTGTCCAGCCACCACCTGATCTCAGAGAGCGGGATCTTGGATTGCGTGTGGTTTTCTGTTGGGTTTAGATGCAGTACCTTGTGGGCCAGTGGCCGGTGACCAAACCATGGGCCCCCTGCACCAGCACAGTGTCCACATGGAGGTGGGACAGGAGATGAGAGACGAGGGGCAAACACGCTCACGTGTTCCCGGGGCTGGTGTGCTGGCGGGGGAGGGCTGCTCTCGGAGGGTGGGAAGCTCCTCAGTCCCCGTCTGCTCTCCGGAAGGGTCTTCCTTGTCCGCTATCTTCCACGGCCTCTTCTGAAGTGGGCGCCTGCTCGCCTTCGACGGGGGACATCAGAGGTTATTTAGGGCTTGAACAGTTGTCCCTTCTAAACCTCGTGGGCGTTGATCTGTTGGCTTCCTGTCAGCTGCTTGTGACAGTCACACCCAGCATCCTTCCCAGACAGGCTCGTCAAGCTCTCTCTGCTGGATGGTAGCTTCCTTGTGGCTCTCTCGTGACACACTCGTGGGCTGAGTCGTGATGGGCTTTGATCTCTCTCCCTCCATCCCCAGAAGCAATAGGCTTTTCCCACCTTTTGGTGCCCCAGGTCTCTGGGCTCTGCTCACTCTCCGTTATGCTTCCAAGCTGGCTGTTTCTTTCCTGACCTACCTTGCTCAGTGCAGGAAGGAGAAGCTCCCAGGACCACTCTGACTCCTTTCAGCCATTTCCCGGGGTGCTGTGGCCCCATAGACTTATCTTCAGGTTGACCATGTGTCCCACCTTCTAAGCCCAGGGGATGGTAGACCATGCCCTTGACCCTCAGAATAAAGGTTTTCCTTTGGGCGGGCCCCAGTTCGGGTGCCAGTTCATGTGTTTGTTAAGGCAACACTGTCAGCAGTGACAGATAACCCCCAAATCTCTATGGCTCAACCTTGCACTCGCGGAGCCTTTTTATGCGTCACTGTGCTTCACCTGAGATATGGAGCATGAAGGAACAGGGGAGAGGCCACTGAGGATGGCCGAGGACAAGAGGTGCCCAGCCAGCGACTGAACCACACACACACACAGTAGACACAGGCCCACCCCCGGAGAGCCCTGTGGGGGCCAGGTTCACGGCCG